CGTTACCTTAATGTTATTTGATATATTTATGTTAACGAGTTACTCCTCTCGCACCGACGTGGTGTGTGTGTGTGTGTAAGTACCGTACGATCGAAAAACAAAAACTGTCAAACGTTCCACAAGCTAAGCGCATGCCATGAACAAAAAATGAGTGGCGTCGAGTTCGAATATCGTCACAAAGTGTTCGATCGTACGATACGTACAATTTCGGTGCGAGCGGATAAACCGCCGTCGTTCGACAAAACAATATCGAATGACTATCTAATTCAGTATAGGCAAGTATAACGCTCGATTTTCGATTAATTGCCCGTATCGTACAGTCGATTACGTCATTTGCAACGATACGAAAAATGCTCGTGTTCCCGTTGATTTCTCTCAAAATGTACCCAAGCAACGTATGGGTGATATAGCGACAAAACGGTCGAAACAGATTAGCGCAACGACCCTGTCAGTGTTCCCACTTATGACCTGGGATTCGGACCTAGTATTTCAACCGGCCGACAGTCTACTCCCAGCATCTGATACTGAATATGCGGCTCAGATCCTTCGGATATCAGCAAACGACATCGATGCTCCCGAGCTGCAGCCAACTTCAACTTGGAAGATTTACAGTGCTCTTGCTCAAAGGAACGATTCCCGCCGTTTCCAACCGTCCGAACGTCTCCTCACTGGCGTTTTACGGTGCATTTCGCGGACTTAGATATAATGTCGGCATCAGCAACACCTTCGTGATCCCCTATCCGGTCGTGCACAATTCGATCGAATTCCGCCCGTGAGAGCGTTCATCGCGTCGAATTCGCCGAGAATCTCCCGACCGCGCGATTCGACCCACTCGCAGTTCCTTTTTTCTCGAATCCCCCGGCCCGTCAGTGTTCGCATGTGTATGACCTGGAATTCCGACCCAGCGTTGACGTCCGACGTCCGACCGCCGCTTCCTCGTTGCACGTACTAAGGCGACTCGGATATCAGCAAACGCCATCGATGCTCTCGGGTGTCACCCATGCATTTAGGGGGCGCAGATCCCTCGCCAGATTTACAGGTGCTGTTTTCCATTCGAACGATTCCCGGTGTTTTCAACCGTCCGATATCGAATTCGCCAACGCTTTCGCGATCCCTTGCCGGTCGCGTACGACTCGATCAACCGCAGCCCTCTCGAGAGAGGAGCTGTCGTCGATTCGAAGATCGCCGAGAACCTACTAACCGCGCGATTCGACTCACCCATAAAGACCCCCCAAGCCCTCGCTAATCACGCCCACTTATCTCACCTTTTTCCTTGCCGCTACTATACCGTGTTGTTGCGATGTACCTTCGTTGAAAGACGAAGAACCGAACCATGAGTACCGTTCGAATGTTCGGCGTGGCTTTTTATACTCGGTGATCGTTGTTTCCACTCAACGATTTTCGACAATAGATAAATTATATAGAAAAATTATACAACGTTCGATGCGCCGGCTTGACCTCGATATCGTTCGGTCGAGCGTGAACGCTGACTATCGCTCGCTACATATCATTTATGTAAACAGTCATGCGAGCACATGATTGCGCAATATACGCAACGTCTCCGATACGGAGCGCGCCGTTCAGTCGAGCGTGAAAGCAGATTATCGCTCGCGTCATTACACTTCCGCACGAGAATCGGCAAGTGCGAAATTGGGTCGTGCATAACAGACCGAGCGGATAGTGAACGACCGAACGTAGCTCTCGGACGCGACACGGCGTTGATGTTTTAAACGAACCAACCGATCGCACACATCTTCTGCTCGAACGGTCCAGGCGATCGGGGTCGATTCGTCAATGTAGTTTTTCGAGTCACCGTACAACAGTTCGCGTGCGACTCGCATTTTTTGCGAATAGGAAAATCTATAGCCATTGTCACAACGGTAACGATGACTGCACCTTTCGTTCGATGACGAAGTCATGATGCAAAAACCAATCTAACGATTGCTTAAATCTTTTCCATCTGAAAAATGATAAGCGCACCAATGGTCACCGCTGGTATTCGCGAACCAGACGTCGTTCGAGTCGAGGGTGACAATACCGAGATCGAGTTCTCCGGTTCGGAGATAGACGTGAATGAAGAGTGGCGGAGCGAAAGCGACGACGACGATCTTACGGCCACAGAGGCGACGCCGCGACACCACAAAAAAGTGTCACTTTTGCCACTGTGTCACGACGAGCGTCGGAGACGAACGAAAAAGGTACGCGTAACAATAACGGCGACATCGATCTCGCAGCAGCGACGGCGGAAAAAGCACCAGTCGTATCATCGTGCGTTAGTTCGCGTTTCGACACGTGTATCGTGTACGTTCTAGACAAGTAACTGACGCGTGAATCGTACCATATCTTCGCTCGATAGCTGCACTCTCATTTGGCGAAGGAGAATCTACCGGGCAGTCTTGCGATCGTGGGTTTTTCGAAACATGCAACGACCGCGTCGCATAATTCTACCGTACTGTCACAGCTGTCGAACGCCACCGTTGACCTGAGCGATGAATTTCCGATTCCGTACATACGTTTGGATCCGAATGATCGATGCACCATTTTTGACTTCAAGCGACAAACCGGCAATCCGGTGATCGTGCTGTTGATCACCCTGCCGGCAGTCGAATGGAGATGTATTTGTCGTGCGACGGCGCGATTCTCGTGCACGCTCGACACACTCTGCGTCAGAACATGACCGAAGTGGCTGATGTGTTGAATCAATTGAATTGTTCGTATCTGGAAGATTTGTACACGCGCGTAAACATGATCACGATGTCGCAATACGAGACGACCGATGACGACAGCCGTCCGGCTGAATGTGACGATTCTTCGCGCGTTATCGGATTCGAGCGACATCGCGACGATGATTCGTTGTCGCACTACGTAACCGCTACAGTCAGGAAATCGCCGCCGTGGCACTCGATTCCGCCGCTGTCAATAACGTCGTCAACCGTGCCAACGGCGACGGGCGGCGGCGTGTCAACGATCGAATGTTACAACGAAGACGACGAGCAATGGGTGAATGAAGATGCTCGCACGGTCGTGTCGATACCGCAGCATTGTTCCATCGTGATAACAACTCGACGCGACGAACCACGACAGCGATGATGGCAAGGCGCTTGATCTGCAAAACGGTGACGGGAACGCGGTCGAACGACTGTACGGTCAAAATCATAACCTATTATTGGGTCATTCGCGGCGCATGGACGCGACATTGCTCGACTCTCATCATTTTTCGACCAATCTGTTGCCCGTGGTGCACGGTGAATCGGTCGACGTGCAAATTCTTTATGCTCCATTTGTTTAGGGCAGAGCTCGGCAAAATGTGCACGCGACGGCCGATTTTCGACTATCTCCACCCACCGTTATTGCCTTTACCTCGCCGCTCCGCGCGCTGCCTAAAAGCCGCTCGAACCTCAGGAGCGTGTTTCCAATAGTTTTCCACGTCACCCATGAAGTACTATTGTTCACGCGTTTTTTTTTAAGTGGTGTCCCCAGTAAGCCTAATCCACTGATGACTGTAACAACCCGTAACTAATTGAACAGAAGCGAAATAAAATATGTTAAATGAAGAATATTCAACTCGATTTTCGGCGTCTTTTATTGGTAAGAGTGGAAACGTCAATTTGGATATTGCATGTAGCGAGCCGCAAAAAAATGAACGCCAACAGTACACGGTGTTCCCAAGTGGTCACCCCCATCCAAGTACTAACCGTGCCCAACGCTATTTAACTGCAGTGATCGGACGAGAACTGGCGTTTTTAGCGTGATATGACTTAATATCACGATATGATTTAATCGTGTATAGTAATAATAAATAAATATATGATTAAAATAAAAAAAAAACTCGAAGAAATAATTGGTGAAGAAGGAAGAGAAAATTAGAAAGCTCATTTCTTTTTCAATTTTGTAAACAGTGATTTGAAAAATACAGCACCGCTGCAAAATTTGTCTCGATCGTGTGGGCTAAATAAATAAATGTGTAAAAGCTGTACACAGGAATCTCGAGAAATTATTCAAGAAAATAAAAAAAATAAACGCCAACAGTACACGGTGTTCCCAAGTGGTCACCCATCCAAGTACTAACCGTGCCCAACGCTACTTAACTGCAGTGATCGGACGAGAACTGGTGTTTTCAGCGTGGTATGACCGTTGACGATACCAATTTGTTTTTTTAAACGTGAACTATCCATCTAAGTCAGAGCTCGGCAAAATGTGCACGCGACGGCCGATTTTCGACTATCTCCGCCCACAGCTATTACCTTTACCTCGCCGTTCCGCGTGCTGCCTACAAGCCGCTCGAACCTCAGGAGCGTGTTTCCAATAGTTTCCCACGTCACCCATGAGGTACTATTATTGACGCATTTTTTTTAAGTAGTATCTCCAGTAGGCCTCTTCATTTTTCAGAAATGAAGTTTATAAAAAATGAGAAGTATTCTTCTTTAAGCGACGATTCCTTACCACGTCTTATGCGGCTCGCTACATGCAATATCCAAATTGACGGTTCCACTCTTACCAATAAAAGACGCCGAAAATCGAATTGAATTTCTTCATTTGACATATTTTATTTCGCTTCTGTTCAATTAGTTACGGGTTGTTATAGTCATCAGTGGATTAGACTTACTGAGGATATCACTTAGAAAAAACGCGTCCATAATAGTACTTCATGGGTGACGTGGAAAACTATTGGAAACACGCTCCTGAGGCTCGAGCGGCTTATAGGCAGCGCGCGGAGCGGCGAGGTAAAGGCAATAGCGGTGGGCGGAGATAGTCGAAAATCGGCCGTCGCGTGCACATTTTGCCGAGCTCTGGTTTAGGGCCTACATAGAATCACAGTTCGTTAGCGAGCTGCCTACCACATGTCAACACGGACGACACGCACGAAACAATAAATAACACGTCCATACGGCGCTTACATATGGCCGTTAGCAGATTCTTGCATTCTCACGATATATTACCAGAGAAACATAAACTCTTATAATAATAAAAATTTTTTGCATGGGACAAAACTGGTTTATTTTTTTTCGTTGTTCATTAACAATTGTATACATCAAACGACCTGATCGAGCATCATTAATTTCTGCGGAAAACTATCGGTGAATAATCGCCATCGTGAAATTTCGAACAATAATTTATTCACCAAACGACATTGAACGTGCGGTGAACGCTCGCGCATGGCCAATAATTGCGACGTGAGGTGCTGCACGATTCGCCACGCGTTCACGCGACCGAACACTTCGTCCAACAGAACGCGAGTTTTCGCGCTCAGGTGCGTGAACGAAGGAACGCCCACCTTATCGTCGATGGCGTCGACCGATGAGGGTGGATACTCGTAATATTCTTCGTCATCGCGGCTCGTGTCGTCGTGGAAACCAAAATAATTGGCCAATTCGTTCAATGCGACGGCATGCACAGAATACGGGTGGGTGGTCGTTCGCATGTCGTAATCCAATCTATCGTTGTTACCACTGCCGACACGAACGCGCCATTCTGACATTCTGAACGGGCCGGCGAACCACGAAGCGCCTCTCGCGTGTCACCAATCGATCGCTGCCTCGATCGATTCGCGCAACCAGGGAACGTGCACATCTTCTAGCCGCATGTACCATTTGTATTGACCGTTCAATCGAATCGATCGGCCGCTGGGTGACGAGGCGGCCAAGATTTCAGGTCACAAGTTCGACGTGACGTTGATGTCCAGGTCCACCTTGAAGCTCTTGATCTCGGTGGTGGTGATGTTGCCGTCGATCGCTGACCCTCGGCACCAGGGAGCGTAGTACACTGAAAAATTCAGTGGTATACTTAGCACTGACAATCAGTGTATATTCGCTGATTGACAGTGAGTTTCACTGATTCACTTTTAGAGAGCAGAGTCCACCTCGTTGTCGTAACGATCGTCGATGATCGCGGCGAGAGCGACTGGTACACTATTCGTTGTTGTTTCTCCTCGGGCTCATCCAGCCAACGATTTCGATCCGCTGATACGGAACTGTCGTTCAATATACACAGCAGAAAGAACGATAACGTTGAGACGACGTCCACAGCGATGACCATGGTCTTGCGATCTCACACGAGAGAACCTTCGTGCGCGACAGCACGGCTCGCGCGAGAATTTTTTTGATATCGAAACGCTCTCCAATACGACAAAAATGTATTAAACATCTTGATATAAAATTGTCACTTTCTTATTTTTTCCCGCTCGGTTAGATGCGAATAGGTAGAAGAACGCCACCAATCGCGTTCTTCGAAGACGTTTTCGACCGACCGTTGCAACAGCAAAATTTCGCGCCTCAATTGTACAGCCGGACGACACCGAATGTACCGCGGTGAACGATCCAACATGACAGAAAGTTGCGACGAGATGTGTCGCGCTAATTGCCACGAGTTCGCGCGATCGAACGATTGTTCCATGAGCGTGCTAGCGTTCATCAGCGTTCAATGCGTAAGAAGGGAATTCCTCCGACTTGTTGAGTGCTTCGATCAATAGAAACGGATCTCTTTCGGCACGGAGCCCAAAATAAGCGGCCATTTCGTTCAATGCTACTGCGTGCAATGAATACACTGACTCGTTGGGTTCGATAACATATCGAAGTAGTTCGTATGTTGCGAGTTTTGGACCGAACCAATCGGCACCGGTGGTGTGATCCAACCACGAGTTTTTGATTTTGTCCTCGATCGATGGCGCAATGACGAATCTGTTATGTCCTGGCGTCGTATGTATCACTTGCGCCGACCGTTCGATCGAACGGATCGTCCCTCGGCTAATGTTACAGCGAACTTTTCTTTCGGAACGTACGAGGAAACACCGATGTCCAAGATTGACTCGTCGTGAGTCACCGGTCGATGACATCACGGAGGAACGTAATAGTCGAAAAACGGCGGCTGTTCATACGTGTCGTTACCCCATGTCGTTGGCCCATGATCGCGGATATCGAACTTGCGTACGACTCGATCGATCCAACGAGTGTCGTAATACAAAGTCGTAATAAAAATGTGTAATACAAATGCATCCACTGTTGGAAAGCCAGGTAAAACACGTCGGACAACAACTCGGCATGCACAGTATCGTTAACGACCGGATACACCATTAGATCTTTGGAGTCAATTACATCGTCCATGAGATACAAATCCCAATGCCGTTCCAAATGCCAAAAAACCTCATCGTCGATCCCGTAGCTGTTCAAATCCATGAGATCTCTTCGACTTAGCACGACATAACGATATTTGCAACCGTACAACAATCGTTTCAGATAGCGATCCGGCAAACCGTATGGTTTCACAAGTTGCCGGAAATCATACGATAGATTCCGCGATCCGACGTAATCGATGATGCAATCTCGATATTAACAATATGTCCGTCGATAGTCCACTGCCTCGTAGAGGTACAAAATCCTAGTATCGTTTTCGTTCGGTAACGGTAAGTGCCCAATTAGCGGTGTTGTATACTGCTGTACGTTCGTCGCGGAGCAACAACGTACGTTTGTCGTTCATTTTATCAGGAGCACCGATAGCACCAGCGATAATAGTAACGATCGCGCGAACATGTTTCCGCCTGGAACTGTTATCTTCTTCACACAAATACGTTATCGCAAAATTAGCACCGTTGTTCGCGCACCATCGTGCCGATTAACCGGCAGTGCCTAAAAATTATCTGTCAAACTTGAAACTATCGTTAAAGTACCGATATAATATTAACTCGCACTTTTGATGCGCTCAAGCACATATGCGCACGAAACATACTTGTTTTTTCGGAGAAAGGTTAGGTGTGTACTAGTAGTGGGATAGAATTGGACGAAACATTTAGATTTCGTAGTATATTTTTTTATTTTCTATGACATAAATGTATACAGGAAAACGATCGATCGATCGATCTACTTTTGCTGAGCCATGAGAACAAATCGTAGCGAGCGGTATAATCACGTCTGGTCTGGTTTTCGTTGTTCGAAATTAGCAAACGTCCTCGTCTGTTCATCCGCGTCGACCGCCGCGTCGATCATCGTTGTCATTGTGGGTACCGAGGAGAATGACAACGACTCACCGACGACGTTGGCTGTGTGAACGGCGGTGGTTGCCGCTACGACGGCGGTGATCAACGCAGCGGCTGCGTTCAATCGTTCGACGAAAAAGATTCTCGCTGTGTTGTAGTCGATACATTGTGAGGACCAACCGATGTCGTCCGTACCGGCCACGCGATGTGGCACGCTTGCGAAAAACGCTATCTCACACATATGCGGGAACATGTTGGTTCAAAACGCCAACCACGGTATCTTGCACCAAAAACGTTCGATGTAGTCGTCGTTGGTGAACGATGTGAACGCGTTCGGTGATTCGTCGTTCGCTCGACGTTGATTGATCGATCGTCGAGCCGCGATAGCCATCGCTCCTTCGCACACCTGTCGTTCGCTCAGGTTGTCGGTGGCCAAGATTCGAGCGTGTAAATCTTTCTGGTACTCGGCCAATCGTGTCAGAACAATCGCTAGTTCGATCGAGCCGTCGCACAGTGGGACGAAAACCCGAAAACGTGGCCAAAATATGAAGACTCCTTTCGATTTACATAAAGATTGGTACACTAAGGTTTTTGAGGTCACTGATTATGAATCTGATGTCAAATTAACAGAAAAACAAAATAGCGGACCTAATATACAATGTTAATGTACAACAATTATCCAATTATGCTACAATTAAGTATTAAAGGGTTTTCGAAGTCCAGCTGAAGAAGCTAATAAAATAAGTACTTTTAGCGCTACCCAGGAACAACGGCGTGGACGTAGTACTTTTGTGTTCCTATTGGGGTGCTTTATTTACGTGAGTCCCCTTGCCTCTCACGATTCACGACGCGTGAATAAATATAATATATTATAATATAAAAGGTACTTCACTATTCATCATCTAATTCTTCAGATTCATCAACATCGTTATCAGAATCATCAGTATCATCATGAGATTCATGAGCATGTACTGACAGTATTGGTGATATTAAAAGTTCCACTACTTCAGGTGATAACGATCTAAATTTCTTCTGTGGTAATTTTCTTATACTTGAAATGTAAGGATCTGATAACACAAGTAATCTTGAGAATACATCAGTCATGGTGTTGATCCGCGAACTTTTCCGCGAGAAGTCCTCATGAGCTCTTTTGATAATTTTATTCGTGGATTCCTGTGCATCTTCAGACATTTGCCCGATTGGTAATATAACTGAAGATATTATAATATCACTATGAATTAAAACTTTGTAAATCGAAGTTGGCATATAGTACCACGGATACAATTCGACAAACTTCCGTGCAGAATTCAAGGCATATATTTTGAATTTTGCCGTATCGATCTCATATCCGCTTGATAGTACTTGTAATATGATATAAAATCTTTTTATTAAGTCTTCATCTACTCCCGTTATTAACATATATGGCTCTTGTTATATATATATATATATACAGGGTGTTTGATAGCTGATCATGCAGACGAAAGTTGGAGATAGATTGGGTGTAGTCGAGAAAAAAAGTCATGTACCATAATGTCAAATTGGCAATAGTTATCGAGTTATTAATTAAAACATGTGAGCCAACGAGCGCGTAGAGAGCGGAGGGCGGCCGCAGTAAGCACGTAGACATTTGATACAGGCGGAGTCAAAGAGTGGCGGTAGGCAAGCGCGCGCGGCGAGGGACAACGTAAGCGACAAAAGGCGATCGCGCGCGACGAGGAGCGAGCGAGCTTTTTCTTTATAGGTTTTTCCTTATAGCTCGCTCGCTCCTCGTCGTTTGCGCTCGCTCGCTTCTTGTCGCTTGTGCTCGCTCGCTCCTCGTCGAACAGTTGATTATTTTTTATCATAATCAACTGTGATTGGTTTATTTCTTACCGCTTACGCTTACTTCTTACTGCTTACAATGACTCAAGGCTCGTCTACATTAGCTGTAAGAGTAAGGCTGTAAGGTTGCAAGACACGAAATGAAATATTTTCATTCGCTGACAGCTTACGTTGCAGCCTTACAGCCTTACTCTTACAGCTATTGTAGACGAGCCTTCAGAGTGTCTCATTGCCATCTATTATTTTTAAGAATCGACAAAATAGAGACACAAATCGCTATGCAATCAAAAAGGGGAAGGACACGTTTCGTCATTTGAGCTTCGTATACACCTACAAGGAGTCAGTCAGTGATATTGACGAATAGCAGAGACGACGTTACTTCAATGGCGCGCAATGATTCATCCGTCGCTTTGCGCGACGGTGAATCACGCACCCGCGACTGTAAAATCGTTTGCGGAAGGTTATGCTGGATCTAACGTGGATCACATGGTAATTGCGTGTACAAGTATCCTCTGTCACTGACTCATGTATATTTTTATACGCCTATATACGTACATAATCCGCAGAACCGTGAAACTGCAATTAACAGAACTACAATCGCGAAGGACACTTCTAAAACTGTCTCCTTTTCGAGCGTGGCCTATCCTCGTTTATTTTTAGCTGCGAATAATTATCCTCTCTATTATTACTTGTTCCTTTTGTTAGATTGCTGTTTTCTTTTCAATATTAACAGTCTCTTTGATACTTCTACAGTTCCACCTACATCCTAATAGTATATGAAAATACAGACATAATATAAAACATACATAGTTACAAAATTACAAATATATATAATATATATTTTATTTATATATATATTAATTTTATGGTTACATATATTTTAATTGGAAGTCACCAGGAATATGCCATAAGAAGTGGTGACAAGCGTCAACGGTTATACTACGTTTTGGATTTGTACAATGACTTTTAGACTTAGATGGATAATTCATGTTTAAAAAAACAAACTGGTATCGTCAACGGTCATACCACGCTGAAAACACCAGTTCTCGTCCGATCACTGCAGTTAAGCAGCATTGGGCACGGTTAGTACTTGGATGGGTGACCACCTGGGAACACCGTGTACTGTTGGCGTAAATTCTTTTTATTTTTTTGAATAATTTTTCGAGATTCCTGTGTACAGCTTCTATACATTTATTTATTTAGCACACCCGATCGAGACAAATTTTGCAGCGGTGCTGTATTTTTCAAACCACTATTTAAAATATTAAGAAAGAGAG